AGATTTAGCCTAGGGAGTGAGGGAAGGGGACTGGGAAGGAGGGAAGGCCAGAAGCCAACCCCCTGCCACCACATCCCGACACCTGCCCCTGCACACACATGCACATGCACGCATATGCTTGTGCACAAATTCAGTTCCTTCAGTATCCATTTATCTCTCTTACTTTCAAGTCTCTTTTCTCTCTTTACCCACTCCCTTCTCTCTTTCTCCTCTCCCTTGGTCTCCCCATCCCCCTTCCTTTTATCTATTAGTTCTCATCTCAAGCTTATTTCTCTGGGTCTCTTTCTATCTCCACTTTCTCATTCTCTCTCTCCCTTCTTCCTTCCTTCTTCCTGATGTCTACTCTCTCTTTAATGGCACCTCCCTCCACAGCCCTCCCCATCCCTGCAATGACTGTGTGTGTGTGCACGTGCGCACACACACACACACACACACACACATTTTATCTCTTATACTGTATTTTTACTGTACTTTTTCTGTGTTTAGATAGGTTTAGGTACATAAATATGTACCATTGTGTTACAATTGCTTATATTATTTAGTTCAGTAACACACTGTGCCTGTTTTTAGCCTAGGAGCGATAGTCAATACAAAATAGCCTAGGTGTGTGGTAGGCTAGACCATCTAAGTTTGTATAAGTGCATTCTGTGATGTTAACACAATGATGAAATTGCCTAAGCATGCATTTCTCAGAATGTATCTTCATTGTTAAGTGACGCATGACTGTGGAATAACCTTCTTTGTCTCACTAATTGTTTTTAGCTTAAAGTCTATTTTGTCTGCTGTAAGTATAGCTACCGCCACTTACTTTTGGTTTCTACTTTAATGACATGTTTTTTTCCATCCTCTCAGTTTCAGTCTATGTGTGTCTTTAAAGCAAAAGTGACTTGGGCCAGCCAAGTGGCGCGTAGGTTAAGAGTTGGCTTTGGGACGCCAGCGGGTCCCGGTTCGGATCCCACATATGAGGGCCAGTGACACTGCCCCCTACAGCTAACATGCTGAACAACAGCTCAACCTGGAGCTGGGTGGCCGAGAGTTGGCCTGTGACAGCATAGGCTGCAGCCCCTGCTGCAGTGGGCTATCATGGGCTACCGTGTGTGGCCCGCAGCCAGTATGAGTTGCCAGCAGCCTCCATGAGCAGCCGTCCAGAAGCCAGCGACTGATCTGCCTCGCCCGGGAAGAGCGCAATGATGGTGCCAACTTGGTCCAGTGAAGCAACGTCCTCCACAACTAGACTGAAGAACAAAAAGACAGCAACTTGTCAGTTCCCCTTCCCCCAATTCCCCAGTGCTGTTCCCATCCCCCAATTCCCCAATAAAAATCTTAAGAAAAAAAAAAAAGTAAAAGTGTCTTGTAGAAACCAATAGTGTCTTTTTTTTTAATCCATTTAGCCACTCTGTGCCTTTTGATTTAATAATTTAATTAATTTACCTTTAGAGTAATTATTGATAGGTAAGGACTTACTAATGTCCTTAACAATTTTATTAATTGTTTTCTGGCTGTTTTGTAGTTCCATTTTTCCTTTTATTCCTCTCTTGCTGCCTACATTTGTGAATTGGTGATTTTCCATGGTGGTATGCTCTGATTTACTACTCTTTGGTTTTTGTGAATCTACTAAAGGTTTTTCCTTTGTGGCTGAGGCTTACATAAAATATCTTATAGAAAAAACAATCCATTTTATGCTAATTGTAACTTAACTTAGATTGCATACAAAAACTCAACCATTTTACACCCACCCTTTTATGTTTTTAATGTGAGCTGGTGATTTTCCATGGTGGTGTGCTCTGATTCACTACTCTTTTCTTTTGTGAATCTACTAAAGGTTTTTCCTTTGTGCCTGAGGCTTACATAAAACATCTTGTAGATAAAACAATCCATTTTATGCTGATAGTAACTTAACTTAGATTGCATACCAAAACTTAACCTTTTTAATCCACCCTTTTATGTTTTTAATGTCACAATTATCTCTTTTATTTTGTATATATTAAGTAATTATTGTAGCTCTAGTTAACTTTAATACTCTTCTCCTTTAACCTTTATAATGTAATTAACTGGTTAACACATATTCCGGAATTAGAGTTTTCTGAATCTGATTGTATATTTACCTTTAGCAGTGTGTTATATACTTTAGTATGTTTTCATGTTACTAATTAACGTTTTTTGTTTTGTTTTGTTTCTCATTTCAGCTTACAAACTGTTTTAACATTTCTTCTTAGGCAGGCTTAGTTTTTTGTTTGTTTGTTTGTTTCCATGTATGGGGCATAATGTCACAGGAAGGTCATAGTGTCCTGCCACCTGTGAGGAGAAAACCCAAGTTCCTGTTGGGTGTGTTGTAAACAAAGAAGCCATTCTTCAGGTGCCTTGCTCTGATCACACCCCTGAGGCAAGCTTAGTTTTGATAAACTCGTTTAGCTTTTGTTTGAGAAAGTTTTTCTCCATTTATGAAGGATAACTTTGTCATGTATCATATTCTTGGTTGGCTATATTTTTTTTCTTTCACCACTTTGGATATGTAATTTCCCTCTTGCCTGTCCTGTTAGGTGTTTGCCAAGAAATTGGATGATAACTAAATGGGGGTTCCATAGAGGTGAGAATCTTTTTTTTCTCTTGCTGTTTTTAGGATATTGTTTTCTATTTTGGCAGTTACATTATAGTGGGTCTTGGAGAACATCATATTGAATTGAAATAGGAGCGATTTATTACCTTCATGAAATTGGATGTCTGAATTTCTCCCCAGGTTTGGGAAGTTCTCAGCCATTACAACAGTCACGCCATCCACTTATGGAAGAGTGGTATATTTCAAGACTCCCAGTAGATGCCTGAAACCATAGACAGTACTGAACCATATATACAGAGGGTGCCAAAAAAATGTATACACATGTTAAGCAAGGAAAACTGGGACTTTCTTGAGTGTTTTGAGCCTTGCCTCTGCTCGGGGCCCACTCCCAACTTTAGAGTGTACTTTCTTTTCTAATAATGACCCTTGAACCATTCTCTACTACTGTTCAGGTCTGCTTCTGTTTCCTTGAAATGCATTTCTTCTAATAATAAACTCATTTTTCTGCAACTTAAAAAAAAAAAGAAAGGAAAACTATATTAAAATTGTAATACTCAATAGATACTGATAACAAAAAATGAATGCAAATCACATTTGACTTCTGCAATTACAAAGCAGTTACCACCAGTGTCCAGGTACTTCTGATTGTGGCAAACCTACTTGAAATATGTTGACCAAAGTGTCCACTTGTATACATCTTTTTGGCACCCCTGATATATATATATATATATATATATATATGTATATATATATATATATATATATATATATATATATATATATGTATATATATATATATATATACATATATATATATATATATTTCTCTTCCTCTCCCTTTGTCACCCCCATACATATATACATACATATAATACAGCTTAATTTATAAATTAGGCACAGTAAAAGATTAACAATAACTAATAATAAAATAGAAGTTATAAAAATATACTGTAATAAAAGTTTTGTCAATGTGGTATTCTCTCTCTCTCTCTCTCTCTCTCTCTCTCTCTCTCTCTCTCATAACCGATTGGATGAATGAGACTGCTACTAAGTGACTAACAGTTGGTGGTGCATACAGTGTGAATATGCTGGGAAAAGATATGACTCACATCCTGGACAGGACAGAGAGGGACAACACAAGATTTCATCAAGCTACTCAGAACAGTGTGCAATTTAAAACTTATAAAATTGTTTATTTCTGAAATTTCCCATTTAATATTTTCAGAGTGTGGTTGAACGTGGGTAACTGAAACTGTGCAAAGTGAAACCACAGATATGGGGGGACTACTCTATTGCTTTAAATAAGCTTTCTGCACCCTTCACCCACTCTACTTCTGGAACTCTAATGATTCTGATATTGATTCTTTTGATGGTTTCTCATATGTCACACAAACTTTCTTTGCTCCTTTTCATTCATTTGTTTTCTTTTTATCCCATGACTAGTGCACTTCAAAGTTCCCATCCTGTAGCTCATTGAACTTGTCTTCTGCCTGCCTATTCTGCTATTTATGCTCTCTACTGCATTGTTCATTTTATTCATTGAATTCCTTAGTTCCAGAATCTCTCTTTGGTTCTTTTTTATGATTTCTGTCTCTTTGTTAAACTAATCATTTTGTTCATAGTTTCCTCGATTTTGCTGAATTGTTTTTCTGTGTTTTCTTGTAGCTCATTGAGTTTTCTCAAAACAACCATTTTGACTTTTTTATCTGGTAAATCACAAATCTCTGTGTCTTTGGCTTGGGTTATTGAAGGATTACTATGGCCATTTGCTGATGTCATTTTTGCTGGTTCTTCCTGTTTCTTGGAGTTATGCGTTACTGTGTTCACATGTGAAGTAGCAGTCATCTCCTCCAGTCTTTCCCAGCTGCTTTCAGGTGAGAGATACTGTTTTTGTTTATCCTGCTTATATGCTGAGGCTTCCTTCAGCCTTGAATGGATGCATCTGCTCCACACTTCTTGCTCTCTTTTGGCAGAATTCTTAAGTTTATATGTCTTTTCTTGATTTTACAACACACTCGTCCAACTGTTGCTAACCTCTTTTTTTTCTTTTTTTGAAAGTGGCACTACAGCTCAAGGTTGTGGTTTCTCTCTTGCTTTTAGACTCTGGCTTGTTTTCTGCATGTTTTCCCTGTCTACCCAAGCTTGGTCTTTTTACCACTCTCAGGAGTGCCCCCAAGGTGCCAGATGCAGAATGGGGAGAGGTGTGGGTTTGGCACTGAGGGTACTGGGGGCCCACAGGTCAGTTGAGAGGCTCCTCAGGTGAAATTCTCCCAGGAGCTCTTGGGTGAGCGTCCTGCTGGGGTCTGGAGGGCAGTCAGCAGGGTCTGTGTCCCTTTAAGGCCCTCTGATATTCTTCTCTGCCCCTTTCCCAATGTCATCCCTCCCTTGAGTCATAGAACTCTTGCTTTCATACCCTGGGTGCTGCAGAAGAGAGAGGCTTTCTTTAGCAGTGTCCCGTACAGCTGGAGAAGCCAGGAACTCATTCATCACTCTGTTTTCCCCATAGGAGGGATCCCAGGTCTCCTTTTTCTCTAAGCTTTGCTGCATTGGAAGAGGGTGGATATTCACAAAGTTCCTCTCACCCACTCCAATGCATCAAACTCTTTTTCTTTCTTCCAGTGAAATGCTGAAACTTCTCCTCTAGAAATCTGAACTTCTATACAAGTTCTCTTGTTCATGGGTAACTGCCCCAGTCAATGTTTCTCAGCCAAAACTTACTGGAAATGGTTCCCAAGTTCCCAAGTTTCAAGCCATACTGGGGTCTACCTACCTATTGCCTGATGCACAGGTGAGTGAGATGCCCCCCATGTCCTTTGGCGCATGGTACTGGATACCATAGCACCCACAGAGACACTTATGTTCAAGGATAGATGCCAAATTTCAGAGGATAAAGAGAGGACAAAAATGAAGGATGTCTTATGCCACCATGATGCTGATGTCATCCTGTAACTTTTATAATTTAAATTAACTTAATTTTATATTTGTTTGTAATAAAAAATCTATCAAATGAATTTGTACCTTTCTCAGAGGAAGAACCTATCCACATTTATATTTCTTAGGTCGGCATTTTTTTAAAGGTAGTGATAATTTTAGTCGTGGTTTAGCCTCAGCTCTATATTTTGTCATACACAGTTTGATATTAGTTACGTATTACTTAGTTTGAACTTCAATGTTAAAGACACTAGCTCTAGAGGAAAATCTGTAGCACCATTCATTTCACACAATGTATTCCCCTTTCTTCAGATTCTTATTTTCAACTATTCATTGGTTGGCTGGATTTCTTCAACAAGTAATTTATTTTCAGAAACAGATATGATGTATTTAAGTTCTTAATGGTTTTACATTTGCATGAGAATGGGTGTTAGAACTTGGCTTACTCACTGTTTTCCTCAGACAGTGTAGACATTTAACTTTTGTTTTTAGCAATTGATGTGACTGTGGCAAAGTCTAAGGTAAGGTTTATATTCCCCCTTGTAAGCAACATACTTTTACTTTCTACTGAAAAATAAGAAACTTCACCAAGATGTGCTTTACTTTTTGTCTGGAATGCTCATACTTAGTTCTCTTATTTCACAAGTTTTCTTCTATTAATGCTTAATTTTTACTATTGAGCTCCAGTCTTCAGGAATACCAATTTTGTGCATGTAAGCGCTCCTCATTCATTCTTTCTTAAAAGTCACCTTTTTAATTGCTTTGACTTGGTTGGGAGAGGCAGTTTGACATCATGATATTTCTAAAATAGTTTTTCTTTCTTTAAGAATATCAGAGAACATTGTTTTCTTTCTGATAAGAATATCAGAAGTGTTTTTCACTTTCCTTTTTGTGCCGAGTGCTGCCAATATTTTTCGTCTCCTTAAATGTCTTGTCCTTTTAATTTCCTTTGTTATAAGAGTTCTTTTTCAATCTAGGTTGTCCATAATTTCTTAAAGTATGAAGTATTTACATGAAATTATCTTTTTTCTCCTGAAACATTTATTCTAATAGAAATTCTTCAAATGCTTTTAGGTTCTTTGAGGCTAATTTTGATGGGAATGGCAATAAAACAGTGGGAGGGGATTGTCTATGTATCAGTCCCTTGTAAATTATTCTGGACATTACTCATTGTGTATGGGAACAGCTTTCCAAGCTAGTCATTTATTCAAAGGTAATTTTGGAAGGAAAGGAATAGTAATATGGATGAACCAGGAATTTTCAGTTACATACCAGGTATAATATGATACTGTTGAAGGATTTTAAGGAACAGGTAAACTATATATGCACACATTAAGAATGAAAGTAGAATTTGTGTAAAATGTAAATGGAGAAATTATACAAATATGATACCATTTTCAAACCACCGATAAGAAGAAAAATCTATTGTCTGTCTCTAAACACTCATGCATAAATCCTTAGTGTCAGCTGACTTTCAGAATAGACTTTTCGATGGCATTCAAACTGTCTCCACCTCTAGATGCCCTATGAATTCTTTAACTTTAAAAAAATATATTATTTTTTTTTAAATTATGGAATTGGGGGAGGTGAACAGTTTTGTGGAATTGGGGAGGGGGACCAGCCAAGTTGTTGCTCTTCAATCTTAGTTGTGGAGGGCGCCAGTCGCCATCTGGCTGCCCGAGGGCAGCTCGTGGCCTCTAAGCTCAAGGTGCTGTGCTCAATCTTATTTGCGGGTGGGCATAGCCACCATCCCATGCAAGAGTTGAACCAGTAGCCTTGTTGTTAAGAGCGCATGCTCTATCCACTGAGCCATCCGTGTGGCAGCAGCTCAAGGTGCTGAGTTCAGTCTTAGTTGCCGGCAGGCTCAGCCAACCACTGAACAGGCAGTCTTGTTGTCAGGAGCATGTGCTCTCACCCCCGAGCCATCCTGCCACCTGTTGGCAGCCCAGCAGCAGCTCAGCTTGGTCACAGCGTCACTGGCTCATGTGGAAATCGAACCAGCAGCCCTGTTGCTCAGAGCTCGTACTCTTAAGCTAACTTTTAACCAACTGAGCCACTCAGCCGGTCCTCTGGTCTAGCAAGGGCCTTCCCTTCAATTGACTTCTACTCAGCTAAGGTCAAGTTACACAGAGGCAGAAAGAATGGGCTATCTTTACACCAGGGAATATAGCTGCATTCCCAGATGGTTCCATATTCTCCATATGGGGTGATGCACATCCTGCCCCATCTGGTCCTAAGGATTCTGATACAAAGGTTAAGAACACAGTGACAGCTCTTGCTTAGGAACCATCCTTGCTTCCAGCCCTTGTAGTTGCAGCAGCCCTGGTCCTATGATCATTGCATCAAGTAAGAGGGGAAAAACAAAACAACAGAGGTGATGTGGTGAAGACAGAACACCAGCACCTTCCCACCACCCCACTCCCCACTCCCTTTCTCAGGTCCACCGGAAAAACAGAGATAAATGGTTGTAGTGAGGACACTCCTTTAGCCTCACTCATGGTCATGTTGACTGTAAGCACGAACTCCTGAAGGCTTGTAAGTCAGCCCTTCATGCCTTTATCTCCCCCCATTTTAGACAACCAATGTTTCAATTGCCCATCCAATTCTCTATCAAAAATATAATTCTGAGGGCCGGCTGAGTGGTGCGTTGGTTAAGAGATGGCTTGGGATGCCATAGGGCCCCGTTTCGGATCCCACATATGAGGGCCAGTGACACTGCTCTCCACAGCTAAGATGCTGAACAACAGCTCAAGGTGGAGCTGGGCTGTCGTGAGTCGCCGGCGACGGCGTAAGGCTGCAGCCACTGCTGCAGTGGGTTGCCATGGGCTACCGTGTATAGCCAGCAGCCAGCGTGAGCGGCCAGCAGCCACAGTGAGCGGCCGTCCAGAAGCCGGCGTCTGATGTGCCTCACCGGGAAGACCACAATGATGGTGCCTACTTGGGCCAGTGAAGCGACATCCTACACAACTAGACTGAAGAACAAAACGACAGCAACTTGTCTGTTCCCCTTCCCTCGATTCCCCAGCACTGTTCCATCCCCCCAGTTCCCCAATAAAAATATCTTTAAAAAAAAAACAAAACAAAACTATAATTCTGAGCACGATATCTTTCTGTCCATTGTTGCACATATGGGTTGTAAAGTGTGTTCCTTGCTCTGAAGAAATGATTGTTGCTGTCCAAATTGCTGCGGTATCTTCTATTTTGTTCATAGTACTCAGATATATAAGTAAAACGCAGTCTTTTTCTTTCTATGTGGGAAATAACCCAGTTCTTCTGTACTATGTGTTTCTTTCCTGTATGTATGTCACACATAACACTTCAGTTCTCACCATCTGGTCACCAATGTGTGGAGGTTTTTCACCTTGCCCAGCAATTCTCTGTCACAGGTTATAGACTCAGTCCCACAAGGCCGCCCCTCCTACAATCACACACACGCTGAGAGCACAGTTGCAGGCCCAGCTTATATCACTCGTGCTTCTATCATCAGTGACCAACTGGCTAAAGATCAGAGATTCCAACCACGCCTTCTTTGGGTTTACTTAATAGGCTCAGTTGCTAGTTGGCTCACAGAACTCAGGAAAACACTTATGTTTACCAGTTTATTAAATCATGTGATAAGGGATACAGATGAGCAGCCAGGTGAAGAGGCACGTAGGGCGAGGACATTCAGTTCATAGCTTAGGTTTCCACTGCCTTTGTTCTTCACCATGTGGCCACATCACTGGCCACTGCTCATGTCAGTAAAAAGCAAACATCGGGGTTTTTACCACTGCTCACTGCTTCCGTCACTGCTAGGAAACAGCATGTAATTCCGTCCACCAGGCTGATTTGTTTTTCCCTTCTTTGATTGAAGTGATGGCCTTTCAAGCAAGGTGTTAGCCATTCATGGTGGAGCTCCTGTCCAGAAGCCAAGCAGCTCTTTGCTGGTCAGTCAAGAGCAGTTTACAGGGCACTGTCCAGGTGAGAGGAGAGCCCAGCAGCTCCTCACACAGTTTCAGAGTCAGTCCTAGAGGAAAGCGGCTCCCTGGTCATGAGTACATCCTCCTTGCTTTTCCCCGGCAGCATAATCTTGTATAAACCATTTACATTTTTCTATGAAACTCTTGTGGGCTCTGCCATCCCCTTTAAAGCATTTCTCTGACATAACACTAGACATATGGGTATTCTGTTTTAAGATAATTTTATGTCCTTGGGGTAGCTTTAATTAACATCCAATAGTGAGGTAGTAAATACTCCTTGAATGGAAACTCTCTACTTTAAAGGCCCAGTGGTTTTCGCAGGGAGACATTCACAGGCTTTTGCCATAAACCCCAGTCTATACCCCATATAGGGTGATCACACAGATAACTTGTCCCTACCAGCTCTCCAGCTTCTATTTTACATTGTGTGGGCTCAAGCAATACCACTCATTCCCGTTTGGCATGTCCAATTAATATTGCTAGAAGGAAGACTTATGTGATTCCTGCTTTATAATACTGGGTAGGGTAAATGTTCCCCAGTCAGATACGATGTCCATCAGCATGATGCAAAACAGGTAAAGAAAAAAAACCCACAACCGCTTTACAGAAAGCCTGGTCAAACATACTAATTCTCCAATACTCTGTGCCAGAAATGGGGATGAAGACCAAGTATGTATTTCTTACTATAAATCACAATACCACACCTATTTCCTAAAAAAACAACAACTCCTCCAGATCAGGGAAGTCACTTCCCAGGTGTGTCTCACTCACATTCAAAGCCACTCAGTTGTTCTCTTCCCCTTACCCCAGTGCCAGGCTCAGAAGAAGAGGCGCTTCAGGAAGTATAATTTGACTTTGATGAAGTCTGTGTAGTGATTCTTAAATTTGTTCCAGTCAAGTGTTCTGCATCTTTTCTGGTGCCTGAGCTTTGCATGAGTAGGGTAGGATTAGGGGAGGGTCAATGTGACCTGAAAACCCAAGCTGCTTGCCCCTGGAGGCAGGCTCTCCCCTTTATCCTGGCTGGCACCCCCTTCCTAACCCAAAGCAAACTCCCTGATCGCTGCCCTCCCCACCTCCTGCTCTGGGAGGGGTCTCTCCTAAGGACTGTAGGAACCTGTCCCTCTTACTAACCTGGCAGTGAGCATTTCTGACTGCATGCCAGGGCTGGAAGTTCCTGGAAGGTCCCACCAACAGCAGCATCTGCCTAGTATGGGAGATTATTAGATATACAGAACCTCCGGTCCCACCCCAGACCCAGTAAACTCCAAACTGCTCTTTAACAGGGTCTCTGGGTGTTTCGTAGCCGCATTAAAGGTTTAGAACCACTGCTGTAATGGTCACAGCCCCCTGATCGGTTATTTCCACGTTTTCATTCCAATGTCCAGTGTCTGCCTGTGTGTGTTGGGGGGCAGGGTGGGGTGGGGACAGAGGAGATGAACATTGGTGCTGTTCATTGAGTTTACATTGGGTGTTTGTCTGCACATTTGAAAGGAAGTATTTGTACATAAAGAAATGGAGTAGTGATGGTTAGAGTGAAATTTTTCTTGCAGCTGCTCCAATAGCCGATGTGCTTTTTCATGTCTGAGTTAGTTCATGAACAGTTCCCACCAGAGGGCTCCTGTAATGCTCTTTTAGTCCTTTAAAACTTTGTATACTGAGGCCAGGAGTTCAAGTTATCAGTAAAATGCTTAAATCCACATTTCATTTTGTGGACGGAAAAGGGGCCACACATTAACCTGACAAGCTCAGGAGACTGAAAATAACCACATAAGATGTCGTGAGCATAAAAAAGTTTTCATAACTAAGTGGGCCATGGTGGGAAGTCACATCTTTAGCTTCCTTCATGTAATTAATCTGTGCCATTTCAGTGGGCCTATCTGTTGTCTTTTTGTACCTAAGATAACATCTTTGGAATGTCAGTAATCCTTTTCAGGACCAGAGCTGGAAACTGCACAATTCCTCATTATTCTGCTTGTCTCCTGATTATCATCTCTATGTGTTGTTAAAAGCCAACTATTAACGGTTCCATACACACCTATGTGAAAGAAGTACCTGTCTCTCCATTTTACTTTTTTCCAACCCCAGAGATTTCTCCACGTTGCCTTCTCCCACCCCCTTAATCTATTGGGTCTTTGGAAAAGTCATGACGCATGTTTGCGACGGATGTCACTAGTTCATTTTTGGAAGTACTAGAGTCATTCTTATCTATGTTTTTGCTATGTCATTTGACAGCTGACAGGTCTAGTGGCTTCATTCTAAAAAAAACTGAGCGATTTGGTTGACTTTTGGAGATTTTACAACAAGTTGAAGATGGAAGACAAACTGCATTTTTTAAAAACAGCCATATTGCACTGTTTTACTTCCATAAAGGGAAGAACGTGCATCAAGTTTGTGAAAAGTTGCATAACTTTATGGTGATAATGCTCTACAAGAACGTCCATGCCAACAGTGGTTCACAAAATCTGTGCTGGTGATTTTGATCTCCATGACACTCCTTGTTCAGGGAGGCCCACCAAGGTTGATGACTACAAAATAAAGGCATTGATCAAGTCAAACCCACATTACACGACACAAGAGATTGCAGAAACATTGAACATCCGTCATTCAAGCATTCACGACCACCTGAAGAAGCTGGGATATGTAAGCAAGCTTGATATTTGGATTCTGCATGAACTCAAAGAAGTTCATTTGACGGCGCATATAAACATCTGCAATAAGCTCATTAAACGTGAGGAAAACGACCCTTTTTAGAAGCAAGTGATAACTAGTGATGAGAAGTGGATTGTTTACAACCATGTGGTGTGCAAACGGTCTTGGTCCCGACGTGATGATTCGCCTCAAATGACATCAAAAGCAGACATTCATCAGAGGAAGGATATGCTCTCAGTGTGGTGGGACTTAAAAGTCATCATGTTTTTCAAGCTCCTACCAAGGAACCAAACAATCAATTCGAATATGTACTGTTGGCAGTTGGATGAATGAATCCATCATCCAGAAACGTCCAGAGCTGGTTAATCATAAAGAAGTTGTGTCCCATTGCGACAACGCGAGACCACACACAAGTTTGATCACCTGTCGAAAATGATTGGAGCTTGGATGGGATGTGTTGCCACACCCACCATACTCGCCTGACCTTGCGCCGTCAAACTTCCACTTGTCTCACTCTCTTCCAAACTCCTTGCATGGTATAATGTTCAATTCAGATGAAGCTGTAAATCAGCACCTTGTTCAGTTTTTTGCAAATAAAGATAGGTCCTTTTATGAATGAGGAATTATGAAGCTCACTGAAAGATGGCAAAAGATTATCGAACAAAACGGGCAATATATCATTGATTGATCTTTGTTCTTTATATAAATAAATGACCTTTAAGAAACATAGACAAAATACATCATGACTTTTCCAAAGACCCATATCACCAATGGATTTCATGTAACCTTCTTTCTTTGAGTGTATGTATAAAATAAGCTGCAAAATCACCATTTCAGGGAGCATTTTTTCAATCCATTGAGATTTTGCTTTCCAACAATTGTTGTCAGTTTGGCTCAAATAAACTCTTTTATAAGTTTTCTCTTAGGCTGATGTTTTTCGTCAACAATTTGATGCAGCAAGACCTGTGTTATCTAGGTATTATTTTCATGACTTTCTAAGTAACTAAAGAGCAAGGCTGAACTCCTGTTTCCTAACTCCAGAACCCAGGCTCCCTTCGTAGTCCTACTGAGTAAGAATTAAAACAAAATATTGCCTAACTCATAGTATGGCAATGGGCCCTAGACAAAGGCCTTCCCAGACCATGTGGTCACTAAGGATTTTGCTCAGGGCTTCAAACAAAGACATTCCTGGACTGTATGGTCAGCAAGACTTCCGCTTTTAACATTTCTGAATTCCTACCTCACCTGGGAGCCTGTCAGGAACTGGCACAAGGCTGCATGTCCTAATAAGGAACCTTAGCTGCTAACCCAGAAACCTTAGGGTATATAGCCCCGAGTCCCACCCAGGTCAGGGCTCAGCCTCTGGATGTGAATCCGCTGAGCCAGTGCCGCCATTAGTAAAAGTTGCTTCCCACGCCTTGGTGTCCTGTCTCTTTGTCTGGGTTCCCCGCAACAATGTCTGTGCTGCAAAAGGCAAACTGCTAACTATCCTGCACCCACCTATGTAGAAGTACCTGTGTCTTCAGTTTACTTTTATCCAATCCCAGAGATTTCCCTGCTTTGCCTTCTCCCACCCTGTTAATCTATCACCCATGGATTTCATGTAACCTTCCTCCTTTGATTTTATGTATAAAATAAGATTCAAAACTGCCATTTCGCAGAGCATTTTTTCAATCCATTGAGATTTTGCTTCCTGACAATTGTCGTAAGTTTGGCTCAAATAAACTCTTTTATTTTCTCTTAGGCTGGATGTTTTTCTTCGACAATTTGATGCATCAAGACCTGTGTTATCTAGGTATTATTTTCATGACTTTATAGGTAAGTAAAGAGCAAAGCTGCACTTTTGTTTGCTAATCCCAAATCCTAGGCTCCATTGTAACCTACAGTGCCACTTGTTGCTGTTACTATACTACAAATACCAAGTCCTATGGAGAAAGAATTAAAACAACAGTTTGCCTACCTCACAGTTTTGCCTGAGGCTAGCCATGGTACTTAAAAAGATAGCTCTTCTCCTGGTTAAGTAGTCCAGCTACATTCCAGGATTGGAATATTATTATTATTATTATTATTTTAAAGATTTTTGTTGGGGAATTGGGGGAGGAGAACAGACAAGTTGCTGTCCTTTTGTTCTTCATTCTAGTTGTGGAGGAAGTCGCTTCACTGGCCCATGTTGGTATTACCATTGTGCTCTTCCCAGGTGAGGCAGATCAGTCGCCAGCCTCTGGACAGCCATTCACAGCGGCTCTTGGAAGCTCACACTGGCTGCCAGCCAATCAAGGTAGCTTATGGCAGCCACTGCAGCAGGGGCTGCAGCCTACGCCGTCGCTGGCGACTCATGGCAGCCCAGCTCGAGGTCGAGCTGTTGTTCACCATCTTAGCTGTAGAGGACGCAGCATCACTGGTCCTCATGCGGAATCCGAACCAGGGCCCTGCTGCTCAGAGCTGGCGTCCCAAGCCAACTCCTAACCAACGTGCCACTCAGTGGGCCCCAGGATTATAACATTATTTATTGGATGGTTTTGCTAGAGTACTTTAACTGCTTACAACACAAAATGTAATCCATATTGTTCAGACTTTGAAAACTTAAATAAAATATTGTTAGGTCTTCTGCTAGAAAGTTAGAGGGTGAGTGGATACCAGGGTACCTCTGAAGGAGATTTACAAATGTATATGATAACTTGGACAGCCTTAGTGTTTCCCTCAGCTTGTATAAACTTACAACAGGTTTCTTCCTCACTATGAGTCCCTGATGTTTCAGATAGGAGCCGAATTTCCCTAAGTGCCTAATCAGTCGTTATTGTTTCGCTGTTAAACTATGTCATCTTTTTACATATATATACACACACACACACACACACACACACACACACACACACACACACAAATATATGTTTTATTTATTTTAATGTTTTAAGCTTATGGAAAAAGTAGAGTTCCCCTTTTTCTTCCTCCTTCCACACAATTTCCCCTATTATTAACATCTTGCATTACTGCAGTACATTTTGTTAAAACTGATGTACAACTATGGCTACATTAACGAAAGTCCTGCTTTTTGCTATCACCACCTGCTGAAACTTCTAAATAATTTCAGAGATTAAAATAGTGCACTGTGGGAAAAACTGTGATCTAAGACTGACTTTTGTAGTTCCTGCTTTGTTTTCACAGTATCTGTATATAGCAGCATTTAGCTGCTGCAGCTGGACAAATCTCACAGTGAGCAGATCCCCAGCTTTATAATGGGATGATTCCAACAGAGTCCAAGAATGGGTGATGGAGATAGGCTCAACTGCAAAGAGGCAGAGCCCTGTCCACATCTTTGGTAGACCAGAGTGACTCCTAGGCTGTGGAGTGCTCAGCAGAACCTTTCCCTGCTGCCTGGAAGAGACAGTTTTGGAGATGGGGCTGAGAGCAGGACTCTGCTTGGTTCTCTCAAGCCCTGGCTGAACCCCAAGGGATCAGGGCAGCTGTTACTTTTAGTATGGGGAGGTTAAGTATCAGGCTGCAAATGAAAAGGAAGTCACAGCTTGCCTACTGCCTGCCTGTTTACAAATATTTGGTTTCGTTTTCCGACCCCCATCCCCACCCCCACCCCTACTCCCAGCACACGAAGAAGAAAAGCAACTGAATACCGGAAAATAGAGCTGAAAGCCAAAAGCGGGGGAGAGTGGAAGGGAGGAGTGAGGGGAGGGGTCGCAGCCTGGTACCCCATGCAGGCTGCAGGAGCCTTCATACCTTTGGAGCTGCGGTGCCCCATGAAACCTCCCCCAGGACTTGGTGGTAGATTGAGGCCAGGAACCCGCGGAGATGTGGGGCAGGGTGGGGGTGGGGATGAGGGTAGCTGTGCAGGGAAGACTGGAGAACCTGGAGGCTCCCGAGGCCACAGGCCTGGGGGAGGAAATGAGCGTTCTGCATCTCTCGGCCTTTTCATTTGAGCTCCTAGTTACAGCAAAGGAGGAACCATCACCATCAGAGCCAAAAACAATGGGGGAAGAGGTGACTTCTCAGGGACTTGCCCAGGGTACGATCTGGCCAGGGCCTTCCCAGCAGCCTGAGCATGTGCCCGGGCCAGGCCATTGCAGAATCTGACCAAATGCCTCCCAGAGCCCCTGACTTGCGCCCTTCAGCACAGTTTCAGAACTTTAGTGGGGGTGAGGCGAGTGGGGGATTACCCAGGACCCCTGGCCCCATGGGTCTGGGGTTTAAGAATTCTGCAAACGCTGCCCCAGGGAAAGGGGTTTTCCTAGTGTTCTAGTTCAGGGTCCCTCCCTCTGTTATATCTCAGCCCCCTCCCCTCTCAACCTCTTTGCCTTGCCTGGGGTGAGAATTTGTATATGCTGTGCCCTCAAAAAGCATTGGAATTTTAATTGGAAGGCGGAGATCCATTTGGAACTGGCCTGAGCCCTTCTTTTTTTTTTTCTTCCTGGTGTGGCAGTGGGCCCTAGACAAAGGCCTTCCCAGACCACGTGGTCACTAAGGATTTTGTGAGGGCTTCAGACAAAGACATTCCTGAACTGTATGGTCAGCAAGACTTCCCCTTTTAACATTTCCGAATTCCTACCTCACCTGGGAGCCAATCAGGAGCTGAAACAAGGCCGCATGTCTTAATAAGGAACCTTAGCTGCTAACCGAGAAACCCAGGTGGGGGCTCAGCCTCTGGATGTGAATCTGCTGAGCCAGTCCCAGCATTAGTAAATGTTGCTTCCCACGCCTCAGTGTCATGTCTCTTTGTCTGGGTTCCCCGCAACACTGGAACACAAATGCTCTAATTTGGAGGGTGAGCCTTGTGTTTAAACTGGGACTGAAGATCCTCAAGTTCTCTGAGGCCGAGTACGGGTGTGTTTTAAAAAGGAACCTGTTTTTTTTCCAGGTGTCATAGTAGCTAGGCTAGTGCCACTGTTTTCAGAACATATTTCTCTTTGTTATAGTTTCATGGTGTTAACCAAACTCAGGTTCGGTGCCGCTTGTCCACGGAAGAGCCCAGAACACGAGTCTGACAAGGGTTAGTGAGGAGAAAAGCCCCTTTATTCTAGATGCCAGCAGCTAAAGAAGATGGCAGACATTTCTAAAACACCACCTTTCCTGAGGCCAACTGATTCAGAGGCTTTAAAGGCAGGTAAAGGGGAAAGAACAAAGGAAAGCAGGCCTCAAGGCTAATAGTTGAGAAGTCTCCTCCTGGGGTCTTCTGAGGCCATTAGCCACTGAGATGGCTCCCAGTCCATAGCCATCTGTGAAAATCTGCTAGGGGGTTGTGATCTTGGGCCCTCACATCCCCTGAGGATTAAAGAAGCTGCTCTTTTTGGTTAAGATGTTTGTTAATTAATAAGGTCTGGGTAGTTTTGGAAAAGGGAACAGAGTTTTCAGTTAATCAGTGGGAGGAGAAACAAAGAGAAAGCATGACTATCAGGATGGATCAAACTGCAAACAAACTAAGTCTAACCATCTTGCTGGCTAGATAGTGAGCGGTGCAGTGAGGCAAATTGCAAACCAGCTTAAGTCTAATTGCATTATTGATTTCCTGAATTTCACCCTTACAGTGGTACCATATGATGTCATGGTGGGTGAGAACCCCATTCCCCTTCTTTAGTTCTTATGACTAGTAATAAATAAGAAAATTGACGTAAGACTAGATTAACGGGGAAAAACAACACCTTAATACGTGTGCATGGGAGAATCACAATGTGATGCTCGGTTCATAAAATGTGGTTCAAAGAAATGATCAAATCAGGTACCTTTAATACTTTTTTTTTCTTCTTTCTTTCTAGCTGAGCCATCCTGCCACCTGTTGGTAGCTCAGCGGCTGCTCAGCTCTGACCAGGACTCGAACTGCTGTTGCTCAGAGCTCACACTCTTGAGCGAGCTCCTAACCAACTGGGCCACTCAGCCGGCCCTTTAATACTTTTAAGACAATAAATTTGTGAGAAATTGACAGTGCAAAAAAAAAAAAGTTGTGTGCATTAGACAGGAATCTAAACAAGGTTTGGGTATTCATTAATGAAGAATTTAAACAAAGTAATACATTAGAAAAGAGGCAGTAAGATTTGATTAACAGACTTTTTGTCTCTGGGTTATTTAACACTAGTGATAAGGAGGTGTCTTCCAGGTGTGGGGAGGACACCTTTCACATGGAGATTTATGTCCTGCATTCAAGGAGACAAGGGAAGGTCCATGTGCTCTCCTGGCACTGGCTGCTTGTCAAGTAGCTTTAATTCAGACTAATCAATATGCTGGTGTGGGATATTTTGAGGTCCCCTGTCTTGGGCTGGAGAGTCGCCTACTCCAAAACTTCCCTGGAAGCTTCACATATTGAAAGCGGCCTTGGAGAAGGGAAGCGAGTTAAAAGCTGAATGGAAAGCGATCTGCAGAGAGAAAAGAATATCGATTAAAATAAAAATGAACAAACAGCAAAGAACAAATCGAAGTAAATTTCACAACCCATTAAACCAGTCTCTGATTTCTGGGAATAGGTCAGTGCACTACAACGTCTGCTTCATTTATCTGATGGAAAATGTTAATCTTTTTTTTTAAAAGATTTAAGTTAGATACTGTCTGTACCATTTGGTTAACTGTTAACTTTTTTTTTTTTCTTTTCACAATTAGTAGGTCTCAAGTTTTCCCACAGCTTCTGTCTGATTTGGCTACAGATTGGAGGTTCCCACTACCCTCTATTCTGGATCAATTAATTTGCTAGAACAGCTCACAGAACTTGGGGATAAACTTACATTTACTAGTTTATTAAAGGATATAATAAAGGACACAGATGAACAGCCAGTCGAAGAGGTTCAGAGGATAAGGTCTGGGAGGGTCCTAAACAGAGGACCTTCTGTAAACCCTGAAGTTAGGGTGCATCTTCCTCTTGGTGTGGATGTGTTCACCACCTGGAACTGCTCTAAACCCCATACTATTGCATTTTCTGGAGGCTTTCCATAGAGGCGTGATCAATTATTTTGATATAATTGACCAGCCAGAAATATTTTGGGTGATCCATGAAACCATGGACATTTAGTAGATGTTATTGATGACTCAGTTGCAACTATTGCTCCTACAGATTGTCGTAATTATTTATGAATATGTATTTGAAATTACCGCGAGCAGTGGCAGAAGAACCGTTATCAATGAAGCTATATGGAAATAAGTGTTTCTGATGTTAAATAAGTATTTTATGTTTATTATTAAATACATGCAATAAAATATTTAATTTTAACAATAACTTAACATTGGGTTTACTATTATTACAAAGATTAAGAAAACATTGTTGTGAAAAAAATTGATCTGCAAAAGGATGAATGTGATTTGCTTCCAGAAGGGCGAATTTGGAGTGCAAAACCTGTATACTTGTTTTAAACTTTTTGTAGTTATCTCTGGCAATAGTTCTCTTTCTGCTACAGGCCCTTTATGTAACTCTTTTACGTAGTTAACGGAGTAGCTAAGAAAAACTGCCTGAGTCTACAGTTGTTGTTTTTTTGTTTTTTAAATATTCAGCTTAAAAAATACTTTTGCCAAAAAAAATATGTTGATTGTTGAAATTTGCTCTCCTAGAATCTCATTTTAGGCATCAGTCATCTCATCATCGAAAAATAGGCTGTGAGCCAGACTAGGTCTGAAAAAGAATTTCGAGTTCATCCAGTTCCACTTTTCAGTTCCTATTTGTTGTAGCTGTTTGCAGACATTCTAGGAGTGTTCCTCTGGAGAGCTGTCAGCTATGGAGGTTTTACTGAAAATGCCACATACAGACTTGACTTTCAGAGACAGCATGGAGGAGAAAGGATCTGGTAATGTAAAACTGATGAAACTTGAAAAAATAAAAAGGGAGGAGGGGTGTTTTTCTCCAATGAAGCATAATTGGAACCGTACTTCAGGAGTTTTAGTACTTCACAGTCAGTCTCTGTACAAGGGGCAATGTTTTGAGAAACTGGGTGGGATGATAGGTGTGGAAGTGTTGCCTCAGTTATTGTATTACTGTATATGTTAGTTAAACATTTCTGGGGCACAAGAAATGAACAGTGAATTGGATTATAAGAAGATAAGAGAAACATATTATTTGTGTTTACATTGTTAGTCCTTGTATTTTCCCCGGTCCCTGGTAACTTGTACTCTGGCAAATCACATTATGATTTTCAACAACGTCATTTATATCCCAGAGTGACAGCAAACTCGGGACTGTAACAATTTTGTAATATATACACTAACAACAGCTGCCTGCAAAAACTGGGACTTTGTAATTTAAAAACAGATATGGAGACTAAGAGGGTGGGGGTGAGAGGCTGAACTCACCTACCAGCAAATCCCTTAGTGTTTTTAGTTTATAGAAAATTTAATTAAGAAGAGGAAGAACATAATAAATGTGTGTTTGTACTTCAGCCCAGAAGAAAGGATATCCTTCATTGAACCTGTATCTTCTGCTTTTTGCAAAACAGAAATTTCATGCTTTTTCTTCTTTGCTTCTCCTCCTTGAATTTCATTTCTTATTTGGGAGGATAGGATATTGGCTTCTCTAAAAACAGGGTTCAGACTTAATTAAAAAGAAAGTTCTTAAAGAATGTTAATGTTAAGTTTCAGCTAAGCCAAGTTAAGTTTACTTAACTGGAACTATTTCACAATCAGAATGGTACTTAATTAATACTAACAAACCAGGATATTACACATTCTAAAGAGGAAACTGATTTTTTGAAATCCAAACAGTTTTTGTAAGTTAACTAAGTTTTTTGGATCTTACATTGAGTCTTCAACCCATTTCAAATTAATTTTTGTGTCTTCAGTATCTTCCATCAATTCCTGTAGTTTGCAGTCTACAAATATTTCACCTTCTTTGTTAAATTCATTGCTAAGTATTATATATATATCTATATAATTAATTTTTTGATGCTAATATAAGTGTGGTTATTTTGTTTATAATATATTTTATTGTTAGTGTCTAGAAATGGAACTGATTTTTATTTATATTTTATAACCAACTTTACTGAATTCATTTATGTGATAGCCTTTTTTATTAAAAGTAAATCTGATTGTATGTTTCTTCATCCTGATTTCTACTTTTTTTGTTTCTTTCACTCATTAGCAATTATTGCAAATTGGAAAATTCCTTAGGGGGGATAAAAATTCAGTTTCTCTTTTCTCTGGCTCTTTTGGGCAATGGCCATCATTTATGAAGCAGTATCTTTTGTGAAATAAGTTGGCGCTGGGAAGTTAAGGTCCAGATGCCGTAGGTATCGATTTTGTGATACATTTAAGTTTTTCTTTCTAAAATTTTTGTGAGATTGACATTATGATGTTTCTATTTTATAGGTAAAAATCCCAAAAGAAAATGTGTAGCAATTACATGTCCTATAACAGTTGCCAAGGTGATTTGTTGCCTCATCATTATTGGGGTCCTAACTGCAATTGTGATTACACTTTCTATTGCTTTGGCAGGTAAGTTACTTGTTCTTCAATCTATACAATGTTCATTCTATCTATCTATCTATCTATCTATCTATCTATCTATCTATCTATCATCTATCTATCTATCCAATAGATATTTATTGAGTTCCATATGTACCAGGCACTGTGTGAAGTGGTTGAGATATATCAGATGAACATACTGAAAAACTGATCTCAGGATAGCAAGTAGAAAAATAGATAAAAGAGTTGAGAAAATTTATGTATTATAATTCTTTGTGATTGTCCAACTTTTAGTGAGAAAACCAATGCCGGTCTTCGAGTGCCCTGTGTATACTGCCTGTCCAGAAAGATGGATTGGGTTCGGAAGAAAGTGTTTTTATTTTTCTGAAGACATAAGGAATTGGACATACAGCCAGGCTTTCTGTGTCTCTTTAAAAGCTGATCTTGCTCGGATTGAAACTCTGGAGGAACTGGTAAGACCTGTTTTTGGATCATACTCTTTACTGAATACCTGGCTACCTGAGAAGCATAGGCTGCATAGGGTTAAAGCTGAAAGGTGAGGAAGGACCCTATTCCAGGCTGACTTGGGGGCATGGGATGCAATGTGAGTCCCTAAAATTTGTGGGAGCTGTATTCTCTGTCTGGAACCTTTGGAAACATGTTACATACATTCTCTCATCTGATCCCCATAGTTAACCTGAAAGGTTAGATGTATTGTTCTCATTGTAGAAAGAAATAAGGTAATCATATTACACTTATCATCCAAGTTGGGCCTTTTCGGGCAATGCAAGTGACAATATTACCACTATGCTAAAACAACAGGCATAACCTGGGACTATTCCAGTAAAACTGGAAGGTATGGTCACTTTAAGTAAAGTAATTTAGGGTCAGAGACACTGAGTCACTGAATCCGAGAAGTGGGGAATAGCCTCACTCCAAAGTCTAAGCTTCCGAATCGTACCAGGGTGCCACCCCCAAAGAGAAGGCTGTAGGGAAGAGAGGCTCAAGAGTAATATGAGAGAAAGAGACACACGTTTTCACTTTCTGTGTTTTATAATAGAAATTCCTAAAAAGATACAAAGGCCCTTCTGACCATTGGATTGGCCTTAGCAGAGAATCATCGCATCACATTTGGAAATGGACAGACAACACCGAATATAATGCCACGTACGTTTTGAGACTTCTTTTCCATCTACTGTGTTTCTGTGTGGTTATGTGTGTGAATTGTGTTTATGAGCCAATACATTTAATATCACGGCATGCTTACTGCACTATGAGGTAAGAAGTTTAAATCCTTTTATGCATTTCCGTTCATCAGCTGTCCCTTTGGAAAACGTATGGTGGTTTGAGTTGAAATCTTTTCCATGATGGTGGCATTCGACATAGCTCTTGCACTTTCATCCAATGATTTAAACTTTGCTAAAATCCCTATTTAGAATGTAGAGAGAATAGCTGTTGCATAGCAGGGGCTCTAAAATGCTAGAAAGCCACTAAAGAGCTAATACCCACAAGATTCTTAGGTCCACTCTTCCAGCTGCTACATCCATTCATAAAAGGAAGGTCTCCAGTGAACCTATGGGAATCTCTCCTAAAGTTTTATCACCAGAAGGAATTTAGTGTCAGTTTTTTGAATTGTGAACATTTCAAAGGGGGTATTTTAAATGTAACCATTACATTGGAGCAAATAAAATGTAGGGGCTCAATCATTTCCATCAACCAAATCTAAGCCCTTTTAGGTATTTACTCATAAGAAGGTTATTTATTTATTTATTTATTTTTTTAAACTTTGTTGGGGAACACTGTATTCTTTCAGAACCCATCAGCTTCAAGTCAAGTCATGTTTTCAAACTAGTTTTGGAGGGTGCAGCTCCCTGGCCCATGTGGAAATTGCACGGGCAACCTTGATTTTATGAGCCTTAGCTCTAATTAACTGAGCTAACCGGCCGCCCCAAGGAAGTTATTTTTATTTTATTTTATTTTTTAATTTTTTTCTTTTTTCTTTTTTTTGTTTATTTGGTTTTTTTTTTAAGCTGAGCCATCCTGCCACCTGTTGGCAGCTCAGCGGCTGCTCAGCTCGGGCTGGACTCGTACCGCTGTTGCTCAGAGCTCAAACTCTTGAGTGAGCTTTTAACCAACTGAGCCACTCAGCCGGCCCAAGGAAGTTATTTTTATTTTCGCACATTTATGAAAGAGTTCAGGAGAACGCTGAAAATAATCATCGCAGAAAACCACCGATGACAGTAGCTCATTTGGCTACCACAGCAAGGCTAAGCAACAACATAACTGAGGTTGCTGTAGATGATTGATTGTAGGGAGAAGCCCGTCAGGCCCCCTCACCTGGCTGCCCGGCAGAATGCAGTGTCTCGCTGGATACACACGATAGAATCTCGCACAGGCGCTGTCCATCACAGGGACGTTTATGTCTATATGCCTTATGTAAGCACCTGGTGTGTGCCACCTTTGTGCTCGCACAGTATACAACCTGGCCATTATGTCAGGCGGGTGGTACCCGGAATCAGTGAATAAAGTATGTCTATTCTGCCTGCGGCCCCGCTTATCTTCTTCCAGCTCCCCAAGGCGTGGGCACTCCCTGCTGGGATCCCCTCACCCTCAGACAATGATCAACCTTGATACTAAAGCTGGGACCTTGAGAGCATAAAAGGAACTAAATATAGGAATGATGTACATTACTAAAAAGCCATATTAAACACAGATTTTTCGTTTTTGCTTATATAATTAAAAAAAATAAATCTGAGTGGGGGTGCTTGGAGTACAGGCATACCTTGGAGATTTTTTGGTTGAAGACCACTGAAATATAGCAAATATCACAATAAAGCAAATATTGCAATAAAGCAAGTCACATGATTTTATGGGTTCCCTGTACATAAAAAAGTGATATTTACACTGTACTGTAGCCTATTAATTATGCATAACAGCATAATGTTTAAAAATGTACATAATAGCATTATGCCTAAAGAAACAATGTATGTATCTTAATTAAACATATGTACACTTCATATCTTTAAATATAAAGATATAATTATATAAATATAATATATAAATATAAAGGTATTTTATATTTAAAAAGGTATTTTAAATATAAACTATTTCAAATTTTTTTAAAGTTTTTTTTTTAAAGATTTTTATTGGGGAATTGGGGGATAGGAACAGCACTGGGGAATTGGGGGAAGGGAAACACACAAGTTACTGTCCTTTTGTTCTTCAGTCTAGTTGTGGAGGATGTTGATTCACTTGCCCAAGTTGGCACCATCATTGGGCTCTTTCCGGGTGAGGCAGATCAGTCGCCGGCTTCTGGACGGCCACTCACTGTGGCTGCTGGCCGCTCATGCTGGCTGCTGGCTACACTGGGTAGCCCATGGCAACCCACTGCCACAGGGGCTGAAGCCTATGCCGTCATGGCAGCCCAGCTCCAGGTTGAGTTGTTGTTCAGCATTTTATCTGTGGAGGACAGTGTCATTGGCCCTCATATGTGGGACCCTAACCGGGGCCCTCTGGCATCCCAAGCCAGTTCTTAACCATCGCACCACTCGGCCAGCTCTAAAGTGTTTTTTTTTTAATTAAAAAAATTTTGTTTTAATTTTAAATTTTAATTTTAAATTTAATTTTATTTAAAATTAAATAAACAAATGGAGAGATGTATGTCCCTTACTTTACTTGACAATGTAGAGGCCATTGTAGGATTATTAATTGTCCTAATTTCAATATTGTTATGTCCCAAGGAATAGGGAGACCTGATGAGAGGGAGACAGACAAGGGAATGGTGGTCGGTGGAGCAGTCAGAACACACACAACATTTATCAGAGAAGTTCTCCATCTCATTTGGGCTCAGATTTTTGGTGCACTGAAACAGTTGTAATAGTAACATCAAAGATCACTGATCATAGATCACTATAAAAAATATAATAACACTGAGAAAACTTGAGATATTGTGAGAATTAACAAAATGTGGCACAGAGACACTAAGTGAGCAAACGCTTATTGAAAAAATGGCACTGATAGACTTGCTTAACTCAGGGTTGACACAAACTTTGAATTTGTAAGAAATGCAATTTCTGCAAAGTGCAGTAAAGCAAAGCACAATAAAACAAGGTGTTCCTATATAGTGGAAGAATGAATATAGGTATCCAACTTACCAATTTTTAATATTTTTGTGTTTGGTTTTAGGTTTGTCATCAAAGGAGTTGGGGAATGTGCCTACCTGAATGACAATGGAGTCAGTAGTGCCAGGACCTACACAGATAGGAAATGGATTTGTAGCAAGCCAAGTGATGTCTCCATATAGCACAATGTTTCAGGGTCTTGATGGAGATGAGGTAGGTTGTCTCAAAGTATGCCACCAGCGAGGACCGTCAGTGTTTAGCTTGCTTCCATACATTAGTTATTGTAAATAATTCTGCAGAAAACATAGTGGTGCATATTTCTTTTCAAAATAGTGGCTTTGTTTTTTTGGGGTAAGTGTTTTACTCGTACAACTCAATAACAACAACAAAAAATCCAAATAAAATGAAAAGACATTTCTCCAAAGAAGACATAAAGATAATTTACAGACACATGAAAAGATGCCTAACATGACTAATTATCAGGGAAATGCAAGTTTGAACCACAGTCAGATACCACCTCACACAGGTCAGAATGACTATTATCAAAAGCCAATAAATAAAGTGTTGGTGAGGATATGGAGAGACGGGAACCCTGTGCACTCTTGGTGGCACAGCAAACTGGTGCAGCCACTATGGAAAACAGCATGGAGGTTTCTCAAAAAACTAAAAATAGATCCACCATATGACCTAGAATAGATGGTTTCTTTGTCTAAAATATATTAAAGCTGCCTGCTTTTCTCATTTAAGTCCTCTATTGCTGAGATCTCCATATATACGAATTAATTTTTTCACCTTGATGATCTGTCTTGAGTCAATGTAGCTATTAGATCAGCCAGAAGAACTTAGAAGAGTAGAGAAAAAAAATTCTATCTGACAGTCTTTATTGGTAATTTTCCAAACATTTAAGAGAGATGCATTGTAAATTGGTATATACAGTTGCTGCTCCATTGCTTGGTCTACCAAAAATATTACCAGTATGCATTCATAATATTTGTTGACAGCAAAGATGCAAACTATCATAAGGTGGTATAATACAGAGGTTTGGAAGAGAATGATTCTAAATTAAGTAGGTATTAAATGGTATTTGTTGATGTTTATATATTGAACCCAGAGTATAATCAATGTCAGTGAACTCCTCTTCTCCTATACAGATAGCCCTGTGTTAGCACACATGGGACCATAAAAATGACCATGCTATCTTGAAACCATGTAACATGATTTTAATAACCCAATAAGAAAAATTACAATTGGTTTGTGTCGTTTAAAAATTTTAACACATTCAAAATTCTCTCGTGGTCAGTTTCAAATACATAGGGACATTTAAAAAGTACTAAAAGTAATATTTATTCTGTATTCTTATTTTAAAACATTAGAAACACTGACAAAGTGTTTTTTACACTTTAATTCTTAGTGTTTATGCTTTAAATTTCAGTGTGCTAAGTAAATATTATACCTATAAACAATATTGTTTATTTTACTCTTTACTGAATTTAAAATTTTGCTTTTATCTTAGATTAAATCACAAAGTGTTAATTCCTCTAATTCTTTAAGCATTCAATAGCCAACCTCAGAATTATTTATATCCTACTGAGTTTTAGAAACAAAATGTTTTCAAAATTTGCAGGAGTAGCTACACTGTACTGATGAGTCCCAAAAAGGACAAAATAGCAATTTACAGTGTTTTTTCCTATGTAAGTTAGCTAAGATTTTTGGGTCTTACATTGAGTCTTTAATCCATTTCAATTTTTTTTTGTGTTAATATTTTTATTGGGGAATTGGGGGAGGGGAACAATGCTGGGGCATCAGGGAAGTGGAGCAGACAAGTTGTTGTCCTTTTGTTTTTCAGTCTAGTTGTGGAGGACGTTGCTTCATTGGCCCAAGTTTGCACCATCACTGCGCTCTTCCCAGATGAGGCAATCAATCGCTGGCTTCTGGACAGCCGCTCACAGCAGTCCAGCTTCAGGTTGAGCTGTTGTTCAGCATCTTAGCTGTAGAGGGCAGTGTCACAGGCCCTCATATGTGGGATCTGAACCAGGGCCTTCTGGAGTCCCAAGCCAGCTCTTAATCAGCGCGCCACTCGGCTGGCACTCAAATTAATTTTTGTGTCTTCAATACCTTCCACCAAGTCCTATAGTTTGCAATCTACAAATATTTCACCTCCTTTGTTAAATTTATTGCTAACTATTATATATATGTATATAATAATAAATTTTTTATGCTAATGTAAATGGGATTATTTTGTTTATAATATATTTTATTATATATATATATATATATCTAGTTGCAGCTATGTGTATATATATAATTTTTTTAATGCTAATGTAAGTAGGATAATTTTGTTTATAATATATTTTATTACATATTATATATTTCTGCTTGCATCTAGAAATGCAACTGATTTTTTATGTATATTTTATATCCTTCAACTTTACTGAATTCATGTATCTAATAGATTTTTTTTATTAAAGTAAACCTGGATTGTTTCTATGTTTCTTTTCTCATACTGATTTCTACTTTTTTTGTTTCTTTCTCACTCGTTAGCACTTATTGCAAATTGGAAAATTCCTTAGGGGGATAAAAGTTCAGTTTCTCTTTTCTCTGGCTCTTTTGGGCAATGGCCGTCATTTATGAAGCAGTATCTTTTGTGAAATGAGTTGGCGTTGGGAAGTTAAGGTCCAGATGCCCTTCGGTATCGATTTTATGATACATTTAAGTTTTTCTTCCTAAAATTTTCGTGAGATTGACATTATGATGTTTGTATTTTATAAGTAAAAATCCCCAAAGAAAATGTGTAGCAATTACATCTCCTAGAACAGTTGCCAAGGTGATTTGTTGCTTCATTATTGGGGTCCTAGCTGCAATTGTGCTTACACTTTCTATTGCTTTGGCAGGTAAGTTACTTGTTCTTCAAACTTTACAATGTTTGTTCTATCTATCTATCTATCTATCTATCTATCTATCTATCTATCTATCTATCATCTATCTAATAGATATTTATTGAGTTCCATTATGTACCAGGCACTGTGTGAAGTGGTTGATGTGTATCAGACAAACATACTGCAAAACTAATCTCAGGATAGCAAGTAAAAAAATACATAAAAGAGTTGAGAAAATTTATGTATTATAATTCTTTGTGATTGTCCAACTTTTAGTGAGGAAGTAATTTTATTCATTGAATTCCTTAGCTCCAGAATCTCTCTTTGGTTCTTTTTTATGATTTCTGTCTCTTGGTTAAACTAATCATTTTGTTCATATTGTTTCCTCGATTTTGCTGAATTGCTTTTCTGTGTTTTTTGGTAGCTCATTGAGTTTTCTCAAACAACCATTTTGACTTTTTTATCTGGTAAATCACAAATCTCTGTGTTTGGCTTTGGTTATTGAAGGATTACTATGGCCGTTTGCTGATGTAATTTTTGCTGGTTCTTCCTGTTTCTTGGAGTTATGCGTTACTGTGTTCACATGTGAAGTAGCAGTCATCTCCTCCAGTCTTTCCCAGCTGCTTTCAGGTGAGAGATACTTTTTTTGTTTGTCCTGCTTATATGCTGAGGCTTCCTTCAGCCTTGAATGGATGCATCTGCTCCACACTTCTTGCTCTCTTTTGGCAGAATTCTTAAGTTTATATGTCTTTTCTTGATTTTACAACACACTCGTCCAACTGTTGCTAACCTCTTTTTTTTCTTTTTTTGAAAGTGGCACTACAGCTCAAGGTTGTGGTTTCTCTCTTGCTTTTAGACTCTGGCTTGTTTTCTGCATGTTTTCCCTGTTTACCCAAGCTTGGTCTTTTCACCACTCTCAAGAGTGCCCCCAAGGTGCCAGCTGCAGAATGAGGAGAGGTGTGGGTTTGGCACTGAGGGTACTGGGGGCCCACAGGTCAGTTGAGAGGCACCTCACGTGAAATTCTCCCAGCAGCTCTTGGGTGAGCGTCCTGCTGGGGTCTGGAGGGCAGTCAGCAGATTCTGTGACTCCTTAAGGCCCTCTGATATTCTTCTCTGCCCCTTTCCCAATGTCATCCCTCCCTTGAGTCATAGAACTCTTGCTTTAATACCCTGGGTGCTGCAGAAGAGAGAGGCTTTCTTTAGCAGTGTCCCGTACAGCTGGAGAAGCCAGGTAGTCACTCATCACTCTCTGTTTTCCCTATAGGAGGGATCCCAGGTCTCCTTTTCCTCTAAGCTTTGCTGCCTTGGGAGAGGGTGGGTATTACTCTCACCCACTCCAATGCATCAGACTCCTTTTCTTTTCTCCAGTGGAATGCTGAAACTTCTCCTCCAGAAACCTGAACTTCTATAAAAGTTCTTTTGTTCATGGGTAACTAACTGCCCAAGTCAGCATTTCTCAGCCTAAAGGAGTTGGAAATGGTTCCCAAGTCAGCGTTTCTCAGCCAAAAGGGGTTGGAAATGGTTCCCAAGTTCCCAAGTTCCAAGCCATACTGGGGTCTGCCTACCTATTGCCTGATGCACAGGTGAGTGAGATGCCCCCCCATGTCCTTTGGCTCATGGTACTGGATACCATAGCACCCACAGAGACACTTATGTTCACGTATAGATGCCAAATTTCAGAGGATAAAAGAGGACAAAAATGAAGGACGTCTTATGCCACCATGATGCTGATGTCCTCCTGTAACTTTTAGAATTTAAATTAACTTAATTTTATATTTGTTTGTAAAAAAAAATCTATCTAATGAATTTGTACCTTTCTCAGTTGAAGAGCTTATCCACATTTATATTTCTTAGGTCAGTATTTTATTTTTTTTTAAGATTTTTTTTTATTGGGGAATTGGGGGGATGGGAACAGTGCTGGGGAATTGGGGGAAGGGAAACAGACAAGTTGCTGTTGTTTTGTTCTTCAGTCTAG